TGAGAGGACTATAGGGTGTTGACATATCATCAATGACAATGACATTTGTTTTATCCTCATAAACAATACAGTGTAGAGAATACATATATACAAAAGGGTGACAATAATACATGGTGGAACAGGATGGACATTAGTATTTTAAATTAATTATGTCATTAATATCGGTAATAAATTTAGCCAATGATGTCAATTCATGTTGTGTTACATAATTGAATAATGTATGATATTTAAATGTGTTTTGTCTTTCATAATTAACTGGACATATGTTTTCGCCTACTATTGAGAATCGGTTGATGTGTACATGTAAACAGATAATGAAATTTGTTGCCAATTTCTCTTAAATAACATAAACTAAATAATCTATTTTCACATGGTATATTGAACCACCTACCACTTTCAATTGGTGACTTAGTATTACATGTTCTAAACCTACAATACGCTTTGGCTAGTTTCGGAGGGAGTTCTAGTAGGAACTTTTCTAAACAAAGTTCGTACTTATATATTCTATAATTGATTCCTTTCGGTGAAGTATACATTTCATTTCTCAAGTTAGATATAAATTTTCCTTTTAGTTTATAAAATATGGTACTCTTTAGCCAATGTATACTTGGAAACTCTTGACTATTAAATATATGTATCAGACTGCATTCTTCACAAATAATATATATACCATCTGTTGGAATTAGGTATAGGTAAAGTGGTATTTTAAAGGTCTATTTCATGATAGATAAACCTGTATTTTCACCTGTGGTTTCAAGTACACATTGTCACCATGAGTGATTTATTATACCAATTGAATAATATAAATTTCAAAAATTTCAAAGACAATGAGGCACCCTCCTTAGCATCACTTTATCAGGTGAATAAAAACCAATGTTAGCATAAAAGCCAGGTGTGTGCATCCTTTTAATTAGGTGTTGCCCTCGCACATACATGTATGTAGGCGTAGAAATTCACAATAAAAGACAAACAGTTCAATCATAATTCATATTTATGACAAAATAAATCAATATTTAATTGCCAAAATACTCACCTAAACTACATGTAGATTCGTGTGCATAATCAGCTGAATCTACTACAGAAAAGCCACCCCCCCCTAAACTTTGACATGTGACCATTTTAAGGGCCTGACATAAACATCAACATTTAACCAAAAATCTACATTTTTACCATTTTTTTTACAGATTTGTTAACACTCGCTCTGCTCGGCCATCACAAAATATAAATACTCTACGTTATAAAATGTAACCTGGAATAATACCGCAAACTCAGAAAACTATTCTATGCCTCACTTGATCTGTTTGTCAATAGAAATAATGTCTGATAAATTGTTGCTTTCTATGCTCGACAGTTCTTGAAATAGTTTAGTATTGTCTTCAGAAAGAAAAAAAATGCAGAAAGAAAAAAAATGCATCGCTCTGCTCGGCTGGCAAATTATAAGTCCCAATCTCATAAAAAAAAGAAGTTCTATATATTTTTTTGGTGGCAGAAAGTAGTACACATGTAAAACCGACATGACAATTCTAATTTATTATTTCTAGATCAGTGCAAAAAAGGTCTTTTTTTGAGTTAAAAATTTATGGGCAACACCCAAAATTAATTCCTGGGTCCCCCCTTGGACACTTGCCATGGAAAAATTATGCTGCTAAAAACAAGATAACACCAAGTACACCCCAAAAGGACAGTAGTCTCACGATTCAATTACACTCATTTGGAGATGGTTTAGGGATATCCACCCTTTGTAATGCACATGTTTTCTTGTAGCATTTTTGTGTTGTCATTTTATATGGTGATTCAGGCGTTTTATTGATGTTGCCTAATAAGGCAGACCAGGCAGCTTGTAATGTTAAGGTCCTCATATTGAATCAATAACAATTGATTGTATGAACTATATAGAGGATATTTGATGGTGTCTTCAGTAATAACAAATATATTTCACGAGTGTGGCTAATATTTTGATATTTTTGTTATTACTAAAGACACCATCAAATTTTCTATTTATTACCTTTTTAAAGCATAAAACATGAAAAATATAATGCATTAAAAAAGGGCGGGAATCAGGAACGAAATAATTAGCGCCATATCCTAATGACGTCACACTTGACAACAAGGCTGGGCGCCATTTTGAATGGGATACTCAACACAATTCCGACGTCTTCTGCTTTTTCCTGGTATTATTTGCTTATACAAATGTTATCAATTGGATATTTATGTAAATACTTAAGTGTGTGTACTAAACATTTACCATAACAACCCCTTATTCTACCGTCGCTTCATTTGAATCTGAACAAAAAACGCTGCCTTTGAATGCAACGAATAGAAGATACCGTTATGATTGGTCAATATCAAAAAGTGATATTTTCACTTTTGATATTTGTCACAGTGTGAAAGATATCAGTTTTATCAAGTTGATAGAATCCGATATTTCACTGGCAAAAATGTAATAAATACTATATCTTTGTATTGTATTAAAGATGCTTTAATTACCAGGTATATACAATAGTAACTTATTTTATCTTATAAAGATACATATATGTCTTATATAGGGCACTAATTCAAATGTTCTATACTTCATGTACATGTAATGATAAAAAGAAAAGATTAAAAAGGCAAATATTCTTAATTTAATGATGTCTAAAGGGAGGTAATATAGCAGTGTGGAAAACAGTTATAGGTGTTGGCAAATATTCTTAATTTAATGATGTCTAAAGGGAGGTAATATAGTAGTGTGGAACACAGTTATAGGTGTTGGCAAATATTCTTAATTTAATGATGTCTAATGGGAGGCAATATAGTAGTGGGGAATACAGTTATAGGTGTTGGCAAATATTCTTAATTTAATGATGTCTAAAGGGAGGTAATATAGTAGTGGGGAACACAGTTATAGGTTTAGGCAAATATTCTTAATTTAATGATGTCTAAAGGGAGGTAATATAATTGTGTGGAACACAGTTATAGGTGTGAAATTGTATGATAAATAAGTATGTAGTGACCAGTGTAATGTACAACAATTATAACTTAACAAAACAATGTTTAAACCATTCTGTTATCTCAATAGTAAGTCAGTATAATGGTTAATTGTTAAGAACAATTAATAAAGATATAGAGGCAACGAGTGGTTGTTAAATATGGTATTTATTCCACTCGAGTAAGTTAATTTTCAAAAGTTACTAAAGACACAAGCTTTTAAGCGAGCGTCTTTCTGTAACTTTTGAAAATTAACTAACGGGAGTGAAATAAATACCATACTCACCAACCACTCGTTGACATTACACCGGTCACTACACACACTACCACAATCTCATGATCAATCAGTCGGAAATAATATGCACACGTTTTTGTTGACAAGGCTGGCGTAGTGATATGACCCATATGTAAAAAGTCACTCATTAATATGCAAAAATGACTTTAATTTTTTTACAAATTTAATTTTTGTCATAATTAATGATTCGGCAACAACTTTGTTTAAAAATGAAATAGAGGAATGACTTTAAATATTGAGAGTAGCAGTATTGCATTAATTTATATAAGTTAACCACAGACTATATGCGCGTAAGCATATCGTACGAAGTCTGCCTCCCGCCAAGTGATGAACAGTTGTAGACGAACTTATCGCTGTCAATATCCAAAACCATAGGCCTACGTTTCTAGGCCTATGTTTCTTAGTGATGGTTTTATGGTTGATGTTTATAGTGAAAGTTCAGCCATAGTCAGACTGTCTAAATAACGATAACGGGACGTTGGCAGAATGAAATATTTCCCGACACTGTGACAGATCTTGTTTTGGTTTCAAAACCTAGACAGGCGACGGTATGACGTCGAAACGATATCGAGTGTCTGTAGCAAGTTTGCCTGAAACTAGCGATCATATCTTTAAGTGTCATCTTTTAATATTGCCTTAATAACCCCCTTTCCGCATAACCTCACAAAGTCACCAACATTTGTGGGATGTTGACAGCCGACGACGTAAACAAAACAGCAGGTGGCAAAAAGCATGTGGAAAAAGTCTTCCCGATCAAAGTTCATCTTCTCGACCATCAAAACTCTTGAAGGTCATATACTATGTGTGGTATATAACTCATATTTATCTAACAGTCTGTGTGTTTATACAATGATCTGAGAGTGGAATAATACAGCGTATTGTGGTAGAATCTGCTTTTGTAAATATGTATGAACAAATGTCATAAAAAATGTATAACATATATAACGTACTGTACATATATTGAAAGCTATTTTTCATGGGTTTAATCTGATTATAATATTTGGAGGGTCATGATCAACATCTAGATCATCAACATCTAAATCACTATGGGTGGTTGGGTGGTGCAGTGGATAGCACACTTGCCTTCCACCAAGGTGGCCGGGGTTCGATTCCCCAATCGGACGTGAAAAGGATGGGGTCACCTGCCCAACCACATGGGTTTCCTCCCACACTAAGACCCCCTACACGTTAGCATCCCGGCTAACAAGAGTGATTAACTTAAGTTGAAATAACTTGTTTCAAAATTGTTGTAAAATAAGTCAAGTTTATACTTATACTAAATCACTATGAGTTTCAATGTAATAAAATACATTTAAGTTTTTCAACTTTGACCAACTTCTGTTTGATCACATCATATAGTGGATATACAAATGTATAGTAGACCCACCTAAACACAGTTCTGAAGAGATCATAACTGCTATCTATTATCGTACTGGATTTACCTATTGAACTGCTCAATATCAGTGTTGTGTGATAAATTGATACAAAAATTGTGTACATTGATGGACTGTATGTCAGATTTGATCTTTCCTGCAAGATATATAGATAAAGTGATGACAGTTCAATGTTCTTGTTTCTTATATTATGTAAAATCATGCACAACTGTCAACACACTAAATAAAGTGCATGCGTACTGAATAAATAATGTATTTAAAACCTTTTGGCTGATTTGAGACAAGGTAGTTTGTGTAATAGAATTTGCAGTATAATTAATAATTAAATGTGATTTCTTCCTCAGGTTGTACTCGTCGCCAACACCCCTTACACCCCTACAGTCACGAGTCAGTCCCTACAAATGGGTGCGGCAGGAGTTCGACCATCCAAGTCCAGAGGTGGAGTCAGTCCGCAAATCCCTTATTCACAGACTCGATGAGGCTGCCCGCAGTATGTATACCCATGCTAGACAAGCTACAATGTTGTGTTTTTATACAGAGGAACCTGCTTGTTACACTTAAACATCTTCATTATAACACACTAGGATATCTTTGTTATTTATTACACATGTACAGATATCTTCATTATAACACACTGAGATATCTTTGTTATTTATTACACACATATAGATATCTTCATTATAACACACTGGGATATCTTTGTTATTTATTACACACATATAGTTATATATATCTATATAATAACACATGGGGGTAGTTTTGAAATATCTAATTGTAAAACAGATTTAAACTTTGATAATTCAATAACTCTGTTATCTCAAACAAAATTGTGATCTAACAGTGATATATGGTAATTAGATGTTTGAGTTCTGGACTTCAGCTTCAGATGATTTTACACTTATTGATCAAATATATACTACGCATATCATATCCTGTATACAAGGCTGTATCACTGTTCAGTTATTTATACGAGCAGGAACAGGTTGTCAGTCTGTAAATCTGTCTGTCTAGATCTGTAGACAGAAATTTGTCTGTATATCTCCTAAACTGTGCATTAATCATAAATATATAAACAAAAACTTAATGAAACTTTGCACACATTACCTATACACCATGACTTGTGTAATTGCTTTCAAATTTGAGTTCCTGTTTCTTTTAAGAGATTTATGGACTTATATTGTAAAGAAAAAAAATGGTCACCACAAAACTAGGAGGTTAATATCCTAGCTGTTAAAGAGAGTTATGTCCCTTTATTTATAGAAATAGTTGTTACAACAACTTTGACAAAACTTCAATGGTAAAATGGTAACTTCAATGAAACCATGTTTTATAGAAATTACTGTACAGTATTAAACCATGACCAGATGCCCTGTTTGTACATATATGATAGTACTGGTATTTATAATCACACCCTGTAATTTCTACCACAAATGTCCCAGTTTATCAAATCCCCGTCCATCCGTTATAGAGGTGTTGGTTATAGTACACATTAGTATTAATCAAGCAGTTCACTACAACATCACCAGTTTTTTTAAATCCTAAACTAAGAAATGTTGTTTGAATATTTGTATCATATTCTTCTATTATGGACCTTACTACCTTAATTATTAAATACTACACTTTACGAATGATTCAGTTTTACTATCACTCAGAATTGATCAATACTAAAATCAAACATTTACAACACATTTCAAGTATTTTAAAAGGAAAGTGAAGGACAGAACTGTAAACACCACTTCCATGGTGTCATAACTTTTGCATATATGCAGTATAAGCAAACTTATTTCCTCAACAAATTCTGCAGTCTGCCTGCCGCTTACCTGACGATGTCATAGTACATCTAGATAATTATGATAGAAATATACGCCACAATTACTGAGACTTTTATTAATTGACTGAAATTTTTAACGAAAAAATTAAAGCTCGCAATATTTTCAAATTTCAAAATTGACCAACTCAACATAGTTAAACATGATAAAGGAACAGGCACTGTTGTGGCACACTGTGTTGTATAATCTATACTTTAATCATCAAAAGCTGCTATATACTGTATTACATGGACCTTGTATGATAAATACAGCTGATGGGTATGTCCTTACACTGGAGATAGCTTATAGTATATATATATTTATATATAAAAGTGATGATCGATGAGCGGCTGGACATCAAGCAGAACATTCCCTCTGCTAGGCCGATAATATGGTGATAAATTTATTACAGAAATTATGACAATTGTCTTTACCCATTATAGTGTATATATGGTAATGCCCTGTGGGGTTCAGCATGGGTCTATCCTATATATGCTGGACTATTCAGTGGGTTGTTAATCCATCAACTATCATCAGTAACGTACAAGGCTAAATGTTTATATGTAGGGGTAAACTCTAGGTACACATGGCGTATACCAAATACGTTAGCCAGAAATTGCCAACATTGGTATATTTTGGACTTTTAGGTGATCTGAAGAATACAATCTTGCATGACTCTGATATAGCAAATGCTGTCAAATCCTAGCTTATTATAACCAGTTGTCCCAATTGGTTGTGTACACTGTATATGTACAAACGTAAATATATTTGGTATCGAAAAGTTGCATGGTTGCATTTTTTGCTGTAACAAGATTTTTAAGAGGAAAAATTGACAGCCTTGTTAAAAAAAAACACCAATTGGTGGATGAAATATTTCCTGGCAAGCTCTCGAGCTGTCTGCTCTTCATCTGCCAATTACCAACATTATTAGCTCACCTGGCACGAAGTGCCAAGTGAGCTTATGCCGTGGTGCGTCGTCGTCGTCCGTCCGTCCGTCCGTCCGTCCGTCCGTCCGTCCGTCGTCCATCCGTCGTCCGGCGTCAATATTTTACTTTAAACGACTTCTTCTTAATAACCGAAAGGCCTAGGGTGATGATATTTGGCCAGAAGCAAACTGGGATGAAGGGCTACCAAGTTTGTTCAAATAAATGACCTTCATCTATTTTCAAGGTCACAGGGGTCAAATATGTTAAAAACTTTAAACAACTTCTTCTCAATAACCAAACTGCCCAGG